TTTTAATAATATACTAAGTGTAACTTTTCTAATAATAAAGATATACCACCCCGCTAATAACCCTAGGGGTTGATGCGGTAAAAAAAAAATTTAATGTAGCATGGACCCATTTCTATACGTCGGAGATGAAATAACAGTCACAAAAACACCAAGACCACCAGATCAGTTGGTTGTACGTAATATTGATATAATCTTGGCTATTGCACCTTGACTTTGTGTGCTTCCTGAATAATTACCTTGTTACTTAAAGTAGACTTGATTGTCTTTACAAAGAATCGCTTATTATATCCAAACGACTGCGGTTCCTCTGGTCAGTACCGATCTAACAATAAAATAGGATTCTTTAAATAAAGTTTTCAGCTCTACAATTCGAACTCAGCTGTCAGTTTTTACGCTCTAATCACTGCGCCTACAAGATAGTTACTACGCAGCTTGATCGGACCATTTCGTTGTCGATTTGAGGAAAAAAACGTCTGGCATTATCGTACAAAAATTCCTTTCTTTATTTAATATACCTAATCAACATTACCGCTTATTGTCTGATCTTTTTTCGTTGGCAATTTTCTAAAAATGTATACATTAGAGGCATACGCAACGGAAATATCTGTATAGAAAGAGTCTAAAAAATTTGAAACAATAATATGCAATATTAGTGTCTTATCAATACACACAAATATTTCACGAAAACAAATTCTAATATAAAGTTTTGTTTTTGATTTACACATGACTAAATAAAAATTTATTCGTAACAATTTTTCATTAATACTAACAGGTATAATATATTTTTTTATAAAATTAAGTAAAGTCGTCAAAACTTTTTAATTTACAAGCAAAAGGACGACACAAAGCTTACTGATACAACGAAAAATTAACAATATATATCTAAGGCAAGATTTTATTACCATTTGTTTATATTCCTTCAAAAAGAGGCAAATTATAAAGTACAATTTCTAATTAAATAACACAGTACACCAACATGATATTATGTATATTATAGTCCTTATTTGCTAGCACCAACTTTCATAAAATCAATTTAATTTGAAAGGGGTGGAATTTGTATGTATGACAAATTCTGAAATTAAGCCAGCTTTCTCGGAATTACAAGTATAAGGCGTATAGAAGCCTTTGAGAAGTGGGTTTTTCGAAGGATGCTAAAGATCTCTTGGACAGAGCACGTGACCAACAACGAGGTGCTAAGAAGAAGGGGTACTTAGAGAGAACTAAATATTGTAAAAAACAGAAAAACGAGTTATCTAGGACATATTTACAGAGGAGAAAAATACAACTTCCTACGACTTATAGTGGAAAGAAGAAGAGGTCCAGGAAGAAGAAAATGTTCCTGGTTAAAGAATGTAAAGACTGGACAGGCATGGACACACATTCTATACTAAAAACAACTCAAGATAGAGAGCAATTTGGTGTAGTTATAGCCAACCTTATATAAAATTTCGTGTTAATTAAGTTTCTGTACGATGTTGTGGATCTGATCATACAACTTCTCGACTCCATCGTCATATTTTTTATCTGCAGTCGTCAGATTTGAAGTATGTAAGTTTTAAATGGTTAAGTATTTATTTGGAATATTATGAAAATGGTCACGTATTTACTCAGCTGATGTTACTAATATACCTGCACCATTTTTGTGATGCGGATCTTCTGTGCTGTTACCGGAATAATATACTACATTTCAATCATTTCTACATGATCCTGACTCTGTCCATCTCATTTCGCTGATTCCCAGTAGGTATATTTTCATTCTTTTCATTTCTTGAATTGCGTTGTTAAGTTTCCCAACCGCAAATAGGCTTCTAACACTCCATGTGCACATTCTAAAATTAGATTTCTTTATTTTTAGGATGTCTTCACGAGGTTTTCGCATGTTTACGACCTGAAAGGCCTCGTGGTATAAATATGTTTCTCCTCTCCTGCCGAATCTTGTCCTCCGCTTTCCATGATTAGTAACGGTTTCCAATTGCAGTGTCAATTCTATCGAGATTTTCCTGAAAGTGCTCTATGAAGGGTGCTCTCTGAGAACATATCTACATAAATATTCGCTTATTTTGTAATGATCAGCCATTTCCCAAAAATTATTAAATAAATTGAAGCTACCATTTTCAAATATTTAGATTTACAAAATAGAGACGGTATTAGATTTTGATTTGATACAGAGCAGCAACAAGCCGCATATACGTATTTCGATCTCTTTAGATCTCCTCAGTACGGTATAGTTACTACTCCATATCAAACCAAAATATTTTCCCGTCGTAGATTATAGGTATTAAAAATAACTATTTACGGACGTAACTACGCCATCTAAGAACAAAAAGAGAAATCATACAATTATAGGCCATGATAAACGGCATTTGGAGTGCAATTTTTAGACACCCTTGCCGATTCATTCATCAAGCTGTTTGCTTCGCAAGTTTTAGGGAGCACGGCGGCTTATATTTGAATTCGATTTCGCCAGGTAGAAATCGTATGATTTCTCTTTTTGTATTTAGATTTACACTTGGAACCCTTTGTCTCTCCCTTCCCAGATTTTTTTTCTTTGGTATTTTTTTTTCTTAAAATACGTATTTAATGATGAACTTATAACATCGGTGCATGATGTATCTTGAGTGTGTAATGCACTTTGAACCTTTGGTACCTTATTTTTGTCAGTAGAAGTTAGTTCGGTCCTAAATGATATATGTAGATATTATTATTTTTGTTTATGTATTATTGACCACGCTTGAGGTCGTCAGTCCATTCTCTGTCCCGTATTGCTTCTTTTGAAGCTTTCTCTAGACTTTTAAATACTAAATACAAATCGGTGTACTGTATTATTGTCGAAGCAAAAACTAATGATGTAGCAACTGGTAAAGGACTCAGTAAATAATTAATCTCTGTTCACAATAGTTTACAATACTTAGGAATAAAGAATTTCTAATAAAATCTCAAAAAATTGTGCTAATAAATAAAAAGTTAAGTTCATAATTTTGGTCTTTGGTTACAATATTCAAGATATACATAAATGAGATCTACCATTCTATTTGAACAAAAATAAAGTATTAGGTTAATGTATCACAGTTTATGATATTTTCATGGACATAGAATATTCTCAAAATATATCTATTATAAAATTAATTAAATCTTAAAAAAATATATGTAAGATATGTATGAAATAGTAATTAAAAAAATATATTAGATATACTGTCTAAATTTAGAGCTAAGAATATTTTGATCGACTGTTGACATTTTCCGGTACAAAAAGAAATGAAACAATACTTATATGGTACCAGTTCAAGAAGCATGTAAAAAGTAATAAGAATAATGCAAACAAGTGACACGAATAACAAAAAGATGCATAGTAATGTACGAAATGAACATGTTTTATATACACAATAAATGTTATTTCATTTATTATTCGATTTATTTATTACAAATATTATAATGTAAAGATCATATGCATAAAAGGAACATATTCTTTTAACGGAAAAATTATAATCAACATTTGTAAGATACTACAAAAAATGCAAGCATAGATACCGATAAAAACCAGTATTAGCATGAATAGACTTAAGAGCAGCATTTGGCACGATAGAAAGACAAATTATAAAGAAATGTTTGAGGAAAATAAAAGTACCAGATACATTGATAAAAATAATAGAAAGTGCTTACAAATAGATAAAGGAAGAGTACAGATAACAGAGGAAAGCTCGGAAGAATTTAACTGGAAGCGATATATTAAACAAGGAGATAGTCTCATCCCTTTGCTATTCGTAATAGTAATGAACGAATTGATAAGAAATACTAGAGTAAAATACAGGCAATAAAAGGATGAAAAAATTGATACTTTCTTCCAGTTAGACAGTGGCTACATGATAGATTTCCTGACAGATGGATTGGTCGAAGAGGAGTAATAGAATGGCCACCACGATTACCCGAGCTAGCACTTCTAGATTTTTGTCCTATGGGGATATCTATAGTCAATTGTCTATAAAACAGAGAACAAAACGAGGTTGTTTCCGCCCTCGGTAGTCTATGTGTCTATTACAAATAGACACCTTTTTTGTCTATTTGTAATACTTTGAATTGACTATGGTTTAGCTTTACATCGATGTCACCTTTATGGTCATATTTATCACTATAATCCATTTCATAAAATTCACCGTCAATCAATTTAAATTTGAGCGTAAATTTCCGCAAAAAACGTTAATTCCATAGGTATATATGTAAAATTCTGTAATTTCCATTAAAAGTGTTATTTACTTCCAATGATACAATTTTTTTGAGAATATCCTTTGACAGGGCGACAAAAACTAAAATTATGAACCGATTGAGACTTAACAAATAGAAAACACAAATAAATATAAAATTAAACAACAACTATGAACTGCTACCCTTAAATGACTAGAGTCGTGCTAAAAAAATCTCTAAAAGTAATACTTTTATTTCGCTTCGAAATGCTGATTTCAATAAAAGAAGTTATAGCCAAAATTGACAACTATTTGAGTATATGCAGGTATCGGCATTAAAAGGCAGACAATCTTATACTCTGAACTCAGTATCAACTGTCTAGTAAATTTAGTAATTAACTTTGTGATATGTTTGTCAAATGTTGGCTTCGGCTGGAGGTGGCTGAAACTCAAAAAATGGTACAGTAATTTCAACCCTGTATATAAATGAACTACTAGGTTCTCGTCATTTTCAGAAAGGTTGGTTTATTACATAACTCCATGTTCCTACAATTAGAGTACTGGTTTATAAAAGCATTAACAACTTGGATGAAAACAATATTATTTTGCATCTATGAAAATTTAAGCAAAGCACAAACTGAATATAGCCGCAAATGTCAACCATGAAACAAAATATTTCGATTTGGCAGTGTTGCCAAAGTTGTATGATACAAATATAAAAAGAGAAAGCTTTAGAAGAGTACATTTTGATTACATTGTTATGAATTCTGCAATTTTCAATTTATATAAAACAAGAAAGAGTAAGTATTTGTTTCGTTGGAGGTTAATTGCAGTTAATTTTTTTTGGTAATTGCCCTTTGGTAGATTAGCGGATTGAATTGACAATCCTCAAACCACCAGTTGCCAGATTGCAACAGATGTTTGTAATTAATCTCGAAAAGGACAAATATTTACTCGTTACCATTTTATATAAATTAAAAAATGCACAATTCATAAAATAATATATTCAAAATGTACTTAATATGATTTATAAAACACGCCAACACTGCCAAACTCAATAATTTTTTTCATTGTTGACATTTGCGGCTATGTTCAGCTTGTACTTTCGTTAAAGTTAACCTTTTTTTATAGAATTTGTTGCAGAACTTAGGTTTTGACCAGCCAAACACTGCAAAGCTGATTCTTATCAGTTTTATGCAGTTTAAAAGCCAACTCAAAAATATCAAAGCCAACTAGATTCAGTTATTCATCAATCAAACTGCTCAAATTTGCATTATTACTGATTTATATAACTATAAATCAGTAGTTATATATCATATTAATGATGCTAAATAATGAATAATGTTTTTTTTGCATTACTATGACAGTTATTGTTCGCAAATCATCTAAAACACACCTCAATCTGTATTTCAAACACCTCTTTCCTAATTTCACTTGAATTAAACAGCGTTGAACACTAGTTATTGTCACATAAAAGCACAGACGTCTTCAATAGCTTTTACCGTCAATAAAGAAAGTAGCATTTCGAGGCGAAATTTGACTTAGGTAATGCTTATTGTACTGTTTCTTAACCCTTTTTTATACTACTTTAATTTATTGGCTGACTAGAAACAAACTGGGGTAAGTAGACTACTTCGGCCATCGGGGTACCCAAGACTTGTTCGCAAACGATATTAGGGTCCAACATTAAGGAACTAATTTGGTCTTCGTTTAGCATATCAATACTGAAAATAGTCAAAGGTGTTAATATCAACGTGAAAAATCAAAGCGTACACTTAAAAACTAAAAATGTTAGTACATTAGTACAAGAAACAACAAAAACAAATAAGTACTTGTAATGTAAAAATAGATTGCTAAACATTTTCTTCGAAACATAGGTTTAATTATTAGATTGCATTATTCATTCCCAGAGCTCTTCTTCTTCTTAGAGTGCCGTCTCCCTACGGAGGTTGGCAATTGCTGCTCTAAACAAATCAATCGATCTGCATTGATACCAATCACGTAGATTCTTCAACCATGAGTTCTGCCTTCGGCCAACAGATCTTCTTTCTTGAATGTTTTCCTGCATTACATAACTGCCTTTCTTAATTTGATTTTTAAGCTAAGGTCTCTGTCACAGTTGTCTCTTCGCTGGACTTCTTCATTGCATACTCTTGCGGTCGATGTTATTACGTCGATTAAACCACATATCAAGGGCTTCAAATTTATTCAGTTGTTGTTTATAAGTGCAGGTCTCTACCCTATACAGTAATACTGATCATAAGTAACAATTTGGTAGCGGTAATGTATAATTTATATCAAGATGTGTATCTCAAAGAACTCCCCTAAGTGTTACAAAGTTATTCTTGTCTTGGGCAATTCAATAAGTTATTTCTTTTTCGGAATTCAGTTGCTATTAACACGTCAACACGTTATTATTGACTATGAATGGTAGGGGAACATTCTGTATTCTCTGAACAATCATTGTTTTGGTTTTCTTTTCGTTGATTCGCACTGCAAAATCCTCACGTGTCTTATTCAATCAGTTCAAAAAATTTGGTTAGCTGACATATGCCTTTGCTACTATTACTTTGTCATCGGCATTTCTGATACTGGATATTTGAATAACACTCACTTTTAACAATTTTTTAAAATGTCTCAAGGGCTCTTTGAAACAAGAACTCGAAATACGAGTAACAGCACACGAGTGATGACACGTGATTACTTCTTCTACACTTCGCTTAATGTTTGTAGTGCTGGATGTTTTGCATTATATTTTAATTTTGTCCTTTTGTTTCTAATACAGATTTCTCATTTCACAAATCTTTTTCATCCAGGCCAATGTATTGTAGGGAACCTTTGCATAACTACCACGAATTTTCAAATGACTAACAGGGTCAATTTACACTTTAGTAACATAGTGCTTTTTTATTTTTAAGTTACTCAATGACACACAATAAGTTAGAGTATTGAATAGTTAATATCTCAGTCACATACATAAATTCAAATGAACACAATAGTTTTAAATTAAAAAATACTTGCAAGTAATTGATTTAATACTTTGACGTCAAAATCGGCGGAGTTATTGTACCTCGATTACCTACTAATAAAAAAAGTTTTGAGTTTTTCAGAAGTATTAAATAATGTATTTATACATTACGAATTCGCTCTAATAAATGTAAGTGAATAAAACAGAAGAGAACACAAATAAATCGAAATTTATGTATTCAACCGGTTTACGAGATGGAAAATGTTTTAATACTCATAATTTAAATGAGTAAGGAATGTAACCGTTTTGGTGAGCTTCCTACAAGACGAAAGGACGTCTGTGAGTATTTATTGTAATTTTTATCAACTTGGTCCTTCGAGCCGGATATACTGAACGTTTTGAATTTTATTTGCGAGCGAATCGAATCGGTCGACGTGTAAATAGTACTATGGTGAGACAGGCTGCCTGTGTAACAAATAATGAAATCATGAGAATCGAAATAATCCAAATCATCAAATGAAGAAAGCTGTAATACCTGGAACACATTTTGTGAGGGGAAAGATATTGTAATAAATTGTTTTATCCAAGGAAAGATCCAGGGCAAGAGAATCATAGGAAAACGGAGAACTTCATGGTCGCGTAACACGAATGTACATCAAATGAATTTTTCAGAACAGCCGTCCCAAGAACATGATAGCCATGTGGACACTAAAAATTAAATCATAATAATAAAATGAAAAAACTTAATATTACCTTGACACACTATCTGTATCAGAAATATCATCCTCTACAGTAAGATATGTAAGAGTTTTTTCCAACGGACTAGGAATCTTCTTTGTAGTTCCGTTCCTCATTCTCTCTTCGGTCAACCCGAGCTTCGGTTCACTATTTCTTCGTTCGGTAAGAGAGCTAATGTTCAGCATCATCATACCTTGCGAGAAAATTTCTTTAACTTTTTCTCCGGTCGGACCGAGAAGATTATCCAGACTTTGTCGTCGGCCTAAAAAGAATCCCATAGAATAAAAGTATTGAAATCTAAGGTTTCCTATTTTTTTTTTAATTTACTATTTACTCACTTAATAAAGGTGCGTTCATATAAAAAAAAAAACAAAAAAGTAGTATTCAAACAAAAATGCGCTCACTTATTACACATATTCAATATTATTAACTAACAGAAACTTACTACCATTCAATGGAATATCTTCGTTTTTAGCCGATGATCTGCTGATCCAATTTGATATGCTATGGTCTAATTTCATCTTACTTTTGATTGCTGAGTATTCGTTATCTGATTTTGGATTGGGTAAAGTTTTCTGTCTGGTCAGAAGAGGTTTTCCGAAGTCGCGCTCTAATTTTTTATTCGGTGAGTTATCCTCCGGACTAGAACTATCCAGGTTAATTTCGGTCCACTCGCTCGAATGGCTTTGTGCGATACTTGGCTGTTCTAGTCTTTCACTAAAAAAAGCAATTTTTTAGATTTAATTTCAGTGCAGTAGAACCCCTCTCGTCCGCCCTCGGATAGTCCGACGCTCCGGGTAATCCGACCTGCTTGGCTTCGCGGAAACCCACGGCGGTCGATTTGTTTACGACGAAAATTTCTCCGAAAATCACAATCCATTCTGTCAGTATTACTTCGACTTTGTGAGTTAAAGTGTGTACATTATTTTCAACATGTCAGGAGCAAAACGTAAACACGTTACGCGTTCGTTAAGTGAAAAACTTGCAGTGCTTCAAAGGCTGGACAAAGGTGAATCACTACAAAAAATTGCCAAGGAACTGAATGTAGGCGTTACGACTATTAAGGATTGGAGAAAAAATCGAAAAGAAATTGAATCACATACAATGACGATAGTAGATGGAGAAAACGCTCTTAAAAAGCGAAAAACATTAAAAAAGCCTAAACTTGAACTGCTTGATAGTGCTCTATGGACGTGATTCAGTCAAGAAAGAAGGAAGGGAACTCCGATATCTGGCCCAATTATAAAAGAAAAGGCAATAATTTTGCACAAAAAACTAGAAGTCGGAAGTGAATTTAAAGCCAGTGAAGGCTGGATTGATCGTTGGAAAACCCGTCATGGTATCCGGTTTGTCTCAATTTGTGGTGAAAAATTATCTGCTGACGTCGAGGCGGCTAAGGAGTTTTCTGTGAAGTTTCAACAAATTGTAAAAGAAAATGAACTGTTACCTTGCCAAGTCTATAACATAGACGAGACAGGCCTAAACTATAAAATGCTTCCAAACAAAACTTTAAGTGCGTCAAATGAAACCGTAGCGGGAACGAAACTCATGAAAGATAGGCTAACTGTTGCTCCTTGTAGCAATGCTGATAGAACACACAAGCTTTCGCTGTTTGTCATAGGCAAATCTAAGAAGCCCAGGGCTTTCAAAAACATAAACTTATCATCCGTGCCGGTTTATTATCGCAACCAAAAATTTGCTTGGATGGACTGCAATCTTTTCAAATCTTGGTTTTTTGACGAGTTTGTGCCATGTGTTGAGAAGGACTTGACGAAAAAAAATCTTCCTGTTCGAGCTCTACTGCTATTAGACAACGCACCATCGCACCCTTCTGAGGAAGATTTAGTAAAAGGGGATATAAAAGCTATCTTCCTCCCACCAAATGTCACATCACTTATCCAGCCTATGGACCAGGGCGTGATAGAATGTTTTAAAAGGCGTTATCGCCGAAAATACATAAGCTCGATTTTAGAAAAATCCGAAGAAGGATGTGATATTTTCCAAGCCATGAAATCACTCAACATTAAAGATGCTATCTATACAATGGCTGAGTCTTGGGCAGAACTAAATCCTGACACGCTAAGAAAATCTTGGCGTAAGCTTTGGCCAGAAGTTATGATCGAAATTGACCAGGTCGAAGATGAGCAAAACGACGTGCAGGAAATTGTTACCAATCTTCAGACCCTGGATGCAAATATACCTGCTAGTGAAGTTGAGGAGTGGATTGAACAATGTGACAAAAACTGCGAAACCAGTGAAGTGCTGAACGATAACGAAATTGTTGCCGCTGTTATGGAACGTGACGGTGACGGAATCGTGAACTCAGAATCCGACAGTGATGATGATGACGAGCCTCCTGTCCGGATTTCACACACCGATGCCAAGAATGCTTTTGAAATTGGCCTTCAGTACATTGAGCAGAACTCAGCATCAACACCGATGGACATCGTGTGGATGAAAAAATGGAGGAACATTGCAGCTAAATCCAGAATTTCATCTTGTAAACAAAAATCTATTACTGATTTTTTTACTAAGTAGGCCTACATAGGTAAGCACTAATTTTTATGCTACCTTTTTTGACATTATATATTTACATACATATTTAATAAATAATGTACAAACAAAAGCTTTCTTGTATTTTATTGAAATATAATTATTTATTATATCACTGTAGAGAATAATACAGTCGTTTTTTAAAAACACATACATACGTCATACACAATGACTTTTTCTGATAATCCGACCTTTCTTGCGTTCCGACCATACTGCTAGTCCCGAGGGTGACGGATTAGAGGGGTTCTACTGTGTTTTAGGTGACTTTTGAACGTCCATTTGCTAGACAACCGATATAGTAAATGAAAATAGAGACTTACGTACCTTGTAGACAATGGCGAAGAGGGTGATGCACTAAATAGAGGATTTCGATAACCCTCAACCTCCTCAAGCTTGGAAGCAACAGGACTAGACAATTCTCCGAGTTTCTGTGGAAGACTTTTAAATTCCTCGATCAGTTCTTGGGCATCGTCCAATAAAGAAATATTCGAATCCAGACTTCGCTGCTTACCGCTCGCGAAATTTGCCGCCAAAAGAGATACTCTTTTTCTGTTTTGATGGATCTCGTCGGAGATTTGCTCCAGGCTCTTTAAAGCATCTGCGTACGTAAGCTTGGCGTTGGCTACTTGTGATTCTAAAGTGTGAACTCTGGCTTTTTGGTGCTCGAGAAGTTGGTTGTAGTGGGCTTTCATTTCGTAATATGGTCTAAAATTAAGAATATCGTTGAGAAATTCGAAAAAAAGATCTGCCAATTTTTTAAATAAAACCTAATATACTATAATAGTATATGCAGTGAACTCTGTCTTAAATGAACAGCAGTGGTGCCGCATCAAGTGTCCGTTGATGAGAGAAATGGTCAAATATGTGAACTTAATATTATGCAGCAAAGCATCTCAAAGTACGTGCCACCTATGGTGGAATATAGACAGTATTATACTCGCGTCGCAGCGGTATAACCATCACACTACCTTGCCAAAAATTGTCATGCTCATGGTATCTAGTCAGTTAAATAAAGGATCAAGCAAGTTTTCACCACTTCTTGTGAGGTTGTCCATTGATCTTTTTCCACTAGAAGGGTTTAAGCAGATGTCCTATGATTTTTTTGGTACATCAGTACAATGTGACCTCAAGAACACAATATGTGCAGCGTGTAGAATCTATTGCACATCTGACAACAGTGTCACATTCCACAAAGATTATATAGTAAGTGTGAAGAGAATATAGAAAAACTCAAATGGGGTTCAGAAGTGATCTTGGAACACTGGATCCATTCGCAAAGCAGGTGATAATTCAAAGATGTAGGGACGTTAATTGTGATGTTTATATTTGTTTTCTGGAATAAGCAAACGCAAAAAGATCGTTGATACCCTTACGAAGAAAAATGCTTTTTTTTCCACAGATGTACCGTTCAAATTACCGTTAACCATAACCTTTTAGAATGTCAAGCATTAACCTAATAAAATTAAAAACAACTTTGATAACAATAAAATCTTCTATTCAACTCCTAGTTTGTACAAATTGAATTATTTGAACTGATTAACAATTTTTTCTTCATATTTTAGAAATTTCGTCCAATTTGCTGTTTTCTTGCTGCTCATTTGTTTTTTAAGTGCCTCCTTAATAACCACTTGTATTGTTTCAAGTGTTTTTATGTATGAGATTTTAATTTAAACCTTAGAAGAAAATCAGAAAAACAATTACAAATTCTCATATTGACACATTTCTTTTTATTGAAGAAATAATTAAAAACCAATGATTTTTATTATTTTTTATATTCCGTAAGTCATTTATCAAACAGAAGGTTAAATGGTTTTAGATATGTTGATGATGTCATTTTTCGCTTTGATGATATAAGAAATCTTGAATTTTTAGTTGCTATAAATAGGGTGTGACAACTTTTATTATCATATTGTTGTGGTGCATCGATTGATAAACTTCATATCATACATTTCTAACTTCACTTGTTTGGAGATTTACTAAAAAAAAAACTAAAAATAATTAAGATATCCTGATAATCAATACTCCAAATGTGATAATAGACGAGTAAACAGATTATACTTGTTTATAAACTTTTTAAAGTAACCTAAAATGCATGTAAAAAGAGGTCTAAGGAGAAAACAAAAACATTTTGGTTGTATAACTAGGGTGACCATAATTTTTCAACAAAAAAAAAGTACATTTATAATTTTTAAGAAAATATGTACACTGCTAGTGCCCTAGTCAAAATTTTACGAATCTTTAATGAAACAATGATAAGAGCGATTTTTTTAATCAAACATAAGTACATAAAAAATGTATGATAAATTTTAATAGTTAATTTTCTTTCGACGTTCCTTTCTGAACATCTTGATCATAATTTTGGCACCAGTCGTACTTTTTGGAACTATGAATTTCCTTCAGAAGTTTTGGTTTACTCTTTAAGAACTGAAACATTTTATTACACGAAACTTTAAAGTTTGTGTAGACTTGCATGATTGCTTCCAGAGTAGATATTTTTAACTGCGATTTGTTGGGACTCCAATAGTTATTGATATTTGAGAACAATCGCTTAATCGACGCACTGGTCCCGGCAGACAAAAAAACAAACTCACATAGAATTTTGAGATTTTTCAAAGCCCTTTCTTTTTGGAAGATTTCGAGCCATCGATCTTCGGTAGAAATATTGTTCGAATTCCAGTCTGTGATTTTATTTTCTGTAACGTAGGTTCGTATTAGACTAACTTCAACAAACAGTTCGTCCTGATTCAATATCGGACCTACGTAGTCTTTGAAAGCCTCACACGACGATGAAATTTCAGCCCAAGAAACTTGTTTTTTCAAGTCATCCAAATAGCTTTAGTTCACTTAAATTTTCACTTCAGTTTTTCAAATATGTTACACAATATGTTACACAATTTGAATAGAACTGCTTGACATGCGTGATAAAGATATCCCGATAGTTCATACTAAGGTCAAGGTCTTCCATATTTTCAAGTTTGGAAAGGGACTCTTTCACTTTAAGCAGAAAAAATATCTTATTTAAGCGTCAAACATCAATTCGAATCATAATTATATTTTGTTTGGACAAAAAGTAGGACTTGATTTTGTGTAATTAAGAAAAAGAGTACATTTAGGTGTACTTCATAAATTTTAAAGTACAATAGGACAGCGTTTGAAAAGAAAGTACTGTCCTACTAAAAAAAGTGCATATGGTCACCCTATGTATAACCTATGATTTTCAGGCAGGGATATGCACCATAAGAAGATTTTTGTATAATACTCAACAATTCTTCTCGATATGTACCTTATGTCTCTTCTAATACTCACTTATATTCTCAATTTGATCTTGTAGATCTTGTCTATTATTGGTTTACACGTAGTACTAGAAAACTGCAATATGTACTACACAATTTCAAATAAAAATGAAATCATAAATTACCATAAATAAAAAACAATATATAAATTAAATAACAAAATAAAAAAATAATATTAAAAGCTCAAGTATTAGTAATTTTTTATAATTCATTTATTTCTTCTATGAAGGGAATTTGTAAAAGAAAGCACTGCAATTAAACTGGATATAAGTATGAAATATTCACTTGAAATAGATTACATTCTGAGCACAAAAAATTAATAATCTATTTATTTTTTTGAATCTGTTGGTCATTCTTGGATGAATGGTCATCTAGTCCAGAAGAATTCTTAAAGAATAACCTCAAATATGAACTTTCCCATCTTCAAGAGCAGTTGCTCAACCACCTTCAACAAAATTGCTCAACCATCTTTAAGAACAGTTGCTCAAAGCGTTTATTTATTGAAACCTAGAGTTAAATTTTAGCTTAATATTTGAGCTTCCAATATACTAGTTATTAAAAACATAAAGTTACTTACAAAAACATCAACTCATGCTGTGATAAAATGTTACTCATTTGCATAAGAGACCTTCGAATGGATAAACTAAAGAAAAATAAAAAACAATAAAAAATAAGAAAAACTGTAATAAATAAAAACATGAATTGTACATGATAAAGGCAAGAATAATTATGTTATAAGAAGTTATGTGCAGTTTTGTTATTTCATACAAAAATAGTCCCAGAAGAAGTAGTGACTGCAGTACTGAAGAATACTGCTCTAAAACATTCATAAACAATACCACCATCACATCCTGTTTTTTTTTTCAAAAGTAATTGCTATTCTTCTAGATTTTCTGGTTAACTTTTCAAGGTATCAATCTTATTTGGTTCTACAATCAATTTATGTAACTTCCCTACAATCTCTCTCCATTATTTTCTGCAATTCTTCATTTTATAATTCCAAGTTTCCAAATCATGACATTTAGTCTTTTGTGCAATGATAAATCTCAAACTGTATTCTTATTCATTTATTTTATAATTAACCAGTTGACTGAATTTATTGTTACTTTGTTTCTTTGGGGCCTATGATGTCTCTAATTATTGTCGTCTTGACATTAACTACTATTACATCTTCTATAATACACACCTTAAACATCAATTCCTAAATATTAACTTATGACGGACTATAATCTGAAATCTATTCCACAAAATTGCTTTTTCATGCCAGTTTCTCTAGTTCCACTATTTATCAAAAATAATAACTGCCGCAGTTTCCGTAATTAAAGAAATCTAGAAGTGTTTTCAATAATAATAATTACAAATACACACTTCTAGTAACAAAATTATTCTCATATTTTTAAAAATGATATATTAGAAATATTTTCTATAAATTGTAGGAATTAATAAATTACTAACTACATTTCTATAGACCAAATATTAACTTTTACAAATTACTCTTGGCTCCAAATTTTTAAATTCTCCTAATCTGAAGCTCTACAAACATCAGTTTTCTTTTTATCTGATAAATCAAGGGAATAAACGATTCCATTATTAACAAGTAAGCTTGTCTCACTCTGTTTTATGTCTATTTCCTGTACCAGAAAGACACAGTCAACATTTGTCCCCATTTTCAGTAAAAGTAAGGGAGACAGCTTCATTTTTTTTCTGTTTTTATAGATACAAATGACAGTTACTTGACAGTTGCCTATTTTTGTTGTTTTCCTTGGCAGATCCTTTTCACTGCCAGTTCTTTTCTACTATAGTAATATAATATAGTCATGTAATAAAACGGACATTACTTAAAAACAATGTTAAAGCCTACAATTCAAGTAAAAATAATTAAATATTGTTTTTCTCTTTCAAATGTTTATAGAAACTATTAACTTATTAATTCCTTATGTATATCAACACTCCTGTTAGGATGATAAAAAATATAATGAACATTTTTACTAATCAACGAATGGGTTACCTGCTTTTTGTTATTGCTCGTTTTAATTCCTTTTGTAGACTTTGTACCTTGGCATTTGCAGCATCGTGTTTTACACAAGCGATCCTGTGCTCTGTCTCAGCAAGTCCCCTATCTCTTTCAGCATCGTTGACTCTTTGGGTGGCATGGTTTAACATTTCCTGCCAAGCTGGATCTGTAATAATTTTTCATATATAATGTTAAAGATATTCTTAATTTTAGGATGTAAAAGCCAAATGTAGGAATATACACAATTACCAGACATGAAAATACATGGAGTTTGTTCATAATAATAGGAAACAAATTAGTAAGAAGTATGTTTCTATAAAACGATACATAACGTTTGAGGCTGCACACAAATTTTATAGTAGAAATATTTGAGACAACTTAAGATACATACAATATTTGGACAATGAAGATAATAATATTTAAAATAGTATATATAATATTGTATTGCTAGTATTTAAGAGAATACTACAAGCTAAAATATACAAAAAATGGGGTGTAAAATTCTACACAGAACTACAGATGCAGTAATATATTGTAAATACTGTTTGATATATACATAAAATAAATGTTTTGTGCTAAAGTGCACTCCCTAGTTTATGTTATCATACCCCATCCCCAATGACTAACATCAGTATAGAACTTTTTATAACGTAACTACTATAAAATATTTTTTTCTAGAGGCGATTGTTGCAAAGTGAAGTTTTCTCTACCTATCATAGAATGCCTTATATAAATAAAAACGCATTTATTCAGCATATGTTATATTTAATAATAATATCATGTCACGTAAAAAGAAATTTGTAAAACATAAATTTTATCTTTGACCTGTAATCATTTTTTAACTTTCAAGGCTTTTTTGACCTAATAGGTTATCTTTAACAACTTAAATATTAAAATTGCTTAAATGATATAGTATACTTTATCTACTTATTACTTTTAATAACAATAAGGAACTGGTTCCAGAGCACCAAGAAAATCCGATTCGGTGACGCAGTGCCTTGAAGAAAATATATTTGGTTAGGTTAGAGTGCCCGAAATTGTGTATTGCCCTCTGATTCTAAAGTTTACACCATGTTTACACTTTATAAATAGTCTGGTATCATTTAATAAAACTAAAAACACTGAAGAATAAATCATTTTTGATCAATAATAGGTAAACAGTATCTTGAAAACACCCTTATGTTTATTTAATTGATTTGACATATTTACATACATGGAACTTTTAACTTTTTTTAAAGATTCTAAGCATGATTCCGGCTTATTACACTAGTACCAAGATATTTATTAGGTAATATAGAGTTTACTTACCAAGAGTTCTGCCACCTAGACCTTGCTCTGCCAAATAAACCATCTCTCTAGCTGCACTGTGGGCACTATTAGCTTTCTCAAACTTACAAGCGGCGATTTGAGAATGTTTGAACATTTCGTTGGCGTAGAATCTGGCTTCATAATAAGGCCTTGCTCTTTCGACTAAGGATGGGTTGCGAAAGCAGTAGCAGTTATTTTTTAACTGTTATTTCACAGAAGCTGCTTCACACTGTTACACCATTTTCAGAATAACTGCTTCATAACTTCATACTCTCCACGAATGCTCAGGCGAAACAGGCGAAACCGCGGTTTTGTGGCTCGTCGCCTCGTCGGTAAATCTCGCCAAACACACCCAAAATAACAGTTTAGATTTTTAAACTGCTGCTCTGCTGCAGATAATGCTTAATGCTACATTGTTATTTCTCTATGATGCTACTCTATCTGAGAACAACTTTGATATTCTTGTGAAGTGGCCTGCGTCTGTCATTGTTGATGTAAGGTGTAAAGGTTAAAAAAAATGTCAGAACTAAAAGGTGATGAAATATTATTGTAAATGATTTATCAAACAAAAAAAAAACAATTAGCTTTTTATATTTATTTGATATATATATATATATATATATATATATATATATATATATATATATATATATATATATATTATTTAATTATTTATTATATTAGAGATACATATTAGGGAATAACAAAAAATAAACAATTGTCCAAAAACTAATGTATAATTTACAAAAACAAAAGCAAACTTAAAAATTAAAGTTTTAGTACAAATTAAACAAAAAAATTAAGTTTTCTTAAGAATTACTCCTAATAAACATGATTCAAACTGTTCGAAATTTGTTACGTACAAATACGCTTAAATTTGGATAATTTACTAGGATCTTATAATAGGTACCTAACAAATACAAATTATAGTTTATAGATTATTTTTATATATACAAAAATATTCAATTCAATGTCATTAATCAAAACAAAAGAATCAAATCTGTATTTGCAATAACTCTCTACTGAAGACATACGCATTAGGGAAGGTTTCAAACTTTCAATAGTATGAATGACTTACTGTGTTATATGACATAATAGTTTGATACACTGAGTTGATACAATAAGCAATAAGCTGCGCCAGAAATTTTGTGTGTTAATGGTTATCAACAGTTGAAGACCTTAAATAATTAGGTTGAAGTTATTATTCAAAATATCCATAATTCAAATGTTATAGGACTAAAGGCTCACATCAGAATAGGTCATATTTACATAAAAGTTTAAGAGTGGGTGAATGATTTATGGTTATAATTACGAATTTCCGGGATCTCTCATTCTTTACATGTAATTTTTAAACAATACAGGGAAATATCTAAGAAATTTTAATACAAACGTATTAAAAGTACTATCACATTGTTTTTGATGATAACAAATTTACACAGTAGACATCCGAAAAGAAACAGAAGAACAGCAGATTGCTTCTAAAAACAGTAGGTCTCCTGTTAGAATATAAGAAATTGTAGCGCTTTCGTTCAACGTAACAATTTAAGCGTCACTTTCATCCCTTCCATTTATTCTTAAACTGCTACTTTTAAGCAGCTTTTTCATCGCTGTTATTTTCAAATAGCAGTAACAGTTATAACTGTTATTTGAAAGTAGCACTTTTGCACATCACTACTTTCGACGCACATACCCAATTTGACGCGAATTGCATCGACTTTTAGCGTACTTTCACACAAAAGTTGTTTAAATGCTGTTCGACATTCGTCCAATTCTACTTCTAGCTTGTTAATCTCATCTGTTGCATTATTCAATCTCTCTAATTCAACATGAACTCTCGGATCAACAGTATCATTATATTCTGAACCATTTTCGCACATTATTAAATACTGAACGTACTTGATTTATGTCAAATAATTTTGATAAAACTTAACTCTGTGCTTCATTTATCATTTAAGGTAATATCACAATGGAATATTCAACATAATTGCAAAATAAATCAAAATTTGAATGTAAAGATTTTTAGTTTATTTGACAGAGGTCAGAACTGAACCGTCTGTCACGTTACTGTCACTGTCAATACAAATTACAATTGACAGCGCTTCCGTCATATTCTTAAAATATTCTCAAGAGCATTACGTCACATTCAAATTTTAATAATACCATGAAAATATATCAATTTTGTTGATTTATTATTATTAATTTTATATGCAATAAGAGGTTTACATTAAATTTTTTATTATTTTTTATTTTACTTTGGTAGTGGAATAAGTCGTAATTATAATATATAAAAACAGAAACACGAAATGTGAATTATCTAATGGGTATATTATACTTACTGATTTTGTTCTACCTTGAAAGATTTGGCAAAACAATAATATAATCCATATTTATATGGTTATTGTAAATATGATATATTTATAAATATATACAAGTCAGCTAGACAGTCTAGGCCCTACTGTTTTGCGTCTTTAGCGGATTTCACTACTGTTTCTGCTTCACTAAGTGTAATTGGAGCTGTTAGAGGTTACATTAGATAATATATTTCTTGTTATCATCAAATATTTTCTCTACATATTTTTTCCTGATCTCCTTTTTTTGTTCCGTTGTAACGAAACAGTTTCTCCAACCAACGGATAAGACTATCCCAGACAAATGTGATTCAATCTCTAATATGTCTGTTACTCCAACGGATACGACTGTTCCAGAAAAATGTGATTCAATCCCTAATATGTATATTTCTCCAACGGATAAGACTGTTCCAGAAAAATGTGATTATGTCTGTTACTCCAACGGATACGACTGTTCCAGAAAAATGTGATTCAATCCCTAATATGTATATTTCTCCAACGGATAAGACTGTTCCAGAAAAATGTGATTAAATCCCTAATACTCCAATGAATGATACTTTTCTAGAAAAACGCGATCCAATCTAAAACCCTAACGGATAAGACTATTCCATCAAAATGTTATCCACTCCCTGATATACCTGTTTCTGCAAGTAATTATATGGAAGGACCTGACGTCACCAATAGTGAAGAGCTCTTGAAGTCTCTGTGGGCTAAACATTTGCATTATCTAGAAGAGAAACAATCCAAAAAAATCCAAAATTGTCAAGAGAAGGTGCCATATTATATTACATAAAAAAAATGGAGGGAAATTCAAACATTAAAAGAATCGTAGGCACATAAAAGGCACTTAAAAAAGAGAATAGAAAAACTGAGAGAATGAAAAAAAGAAGAAAAAATAAAGAAAAACAAAAGCCAGGATGTAGAAAACGTTCTGAAAAAAAAAAATAAAACTACAAATTCTGAGAAACCCTCGACATATTCACATGACGAAGAGGCCACTGAAGAACAATAAACTTGTCCAGCATGCGGACTTCTATATCAGGATCCACCTCTAGAAGACTGGATAAAATGTTATCTTTGTAAACTTTGATGGGATGAAAAATGTTCAGACTATGAAGATGGCGAATTTATTTGCGATTTTTGTACCGATAGTTAGGTATTTGTATGCAGTATAGGTAGGTAAGTATAGAAATTGTAAAGAACAAATCGAAACAATTTCCTACATATTCACCCAGTTCATTCTTTTTAGTGGACCCTAATTCCATTCACTGAATAAAATAGGTCTTTTCAGTAAAGCTATATGTCAATTCACTTGGTTTTTGGTGTTTTTTTTTTAATTTTTGATTTTATTTAAATCGTTTTGAAAACATTAATATTACCACAATTAAATTAGAAGCAATCTTGAATTTACAATGATCCTTAACTTTTTTTTTCGTTGTCAAACGTCATTTAGTTTGAATAAGGTGCTATCTTAAAGTTGAGCTAAAGTACGATTTTCTCTTAGGTGTCCATTCACTGGTGCAACCTATAGCAAAATTATGTTACCGAAAATTCTATTATAAACTATGGAAACAATTATTTTATGTCATCTTTTATGTATTTTACTTCTTCATTCCGGGACCTACTAAACATTTAAAATAAAACATTTTCAAATATAATTTAGTTTCAGAAACGATCCGATTCAGAGGGCAGATGATAATAACTGTCCTTCCCTTAGTCTACATGCACTAATACCAAAGAATATAGACGCTTAGCGTCTATATTCTTTGCTAATACACTGGATATAGACCTCTTCAAATTGTTTCCACTTCTTTCCGTTTGGGTCGGTCTTTATATAGTTTTTGCGATACTTTGCATATCGTTTCGCCATCTCTTATATGAGGTCTTTCCACATTTTTTAAGACTCCAAACTAAAGTCTCTAAGGGAATGATCTTAGTTTTCAAAGGTTTTCGTTTAATATTAAACATCTAGTATTTAAAGTATTGAATGTATATTATTTACAATAGTCTACAAGGAGAAATAAGAGATCTGTATACTCGTATTAATTGTTATAGTACTCTTATTTCATGTTTTATTTTTCTTGCTATGTATCATTTTCATAATGCGAAAGACATATTTATATATACCTTCCATTGAACCTGATAAAATGATAAAAGCAACTTTTAATCGTTTATTTTGAAACCCTTAGAAAATTCGCGAAGGTGCTCTCGTTTAAGCGGTACCTATGGTTGGCTGTCCGTACCATTGGGTTGCGTGGTGCGAAGTAGAAGTCAATGTACAGATCTGGCAGAAGAAAGTGATGTGAAAGTGTGTCCTAGAACTTGCGACTCCTTGTCTTTTATACATTACAGAGACGCACTCGCTAAAATAAGATCGTTTATTAACTAACAGAATTAATCTTATGTAGTAAGGTGCTAAAACTGAAGGAGGTCTGAAGGAGAATTGATGTGAATATTTTTTCCGGGAGTTTCTTTACAAGACTACTAAATATGAACCAGGATCTTCATGTCTGATTCATAGATTATTATCAAAAGGCTTTTGATAGAGTACGACATCAGAAACTCGTAAAACTGTTAAAAGAAAAGAATGTGGATAGTCCAGATATACGGGTTATTGTCAATCTGTACTGGAATTAAAAACAAAGGTTAGAATCGAAAATGCCGATACCGAAACTGGATAAATCAAAAGAGGTTTGGACAGGGTTGCGTGTTGTCCCCATTGTTATTCAATCTCTACAGCGAAGCTATTTTTAAGGAAGCAATATCAGGGTATATCAATAAAAGAAAAAATCTTAAACAACACAAGATTCGCAGACGACACCGCTGTTTTTGCAGACAGTCTAGAAGCACCGCAACACTTAGTGAATAGATTACATCAAGTCAGTATAGAATATGGACTAAAAATGAACGTTAAGAAAATCAGGTGCATGATTATTTCTAAGCAACATACAGAAGGAAGGCTAGATATCGAGTGAAAACAAGTAGAAAAAGTGATTAACTACAAATATCTGGGAGCCTGAGTAAATGAAAACAATGATCAAGGTAGAGAAATAAGGACACGCATTGAAATTGCAAGACAAGTATTTATAAAAATAAAAACAATGTTTGTTAATCAAGACCTTGCTTTGGAGCTGGGGATAAGAGCCTTAAGATGCTACGTGTTCTCGACTTTGTTGTATGGAATGGAAAGCTGAACACTAAAAGTGGATCATATAAAGAAGTTGGAATCATTTGAGATGTGATGCTGTAGAAGGATTTTGAAAATACCGTGGACTCAACGAGTTACAAATACAGAAGTGTTAAGAAGGCTACAAAAGGATTGTGAGATCATACAGCACATCAAAACAAGAAAGCTGGAATATTTAGACCACATTACCAGAAAAGCGTAACATAAGATATTAAGGCTCATAATGGAAGGTAAAATTAAGGGTAAAAGATCCATAGGAAGACGTAGAATTTCCTGGCCACGTTATATTGGATGGGATTTGTCCTATCCCACAAAACGTACAATAAGATGTTGCGTGAAAACCGACCTTTAGGGTCAATAAAAAGACAACAAAAACTATGATCATAAAAATAACTCTCCTGAAATAATTATATTGATTAAGGGGCATCCCAGTGAGCAAGTGAAAAACTCAGATATCTGTCTAATAAAATTCACTAGATCCTAGATCCAGATAAAGAGATAAAAAGCAAGATAGAACATGCCAGACAGGCTTTATAATGATACCAGTATGAACGCCAGAATGCGACCGTTCTTTATTGCAAATGATCTTACGCTTAGACATAAGCAAAGTATGTACGTATTGGGAAATGTCGATGGTCGATGATGTCATAAAAATACTACATCAAAGATTATACAAAAAATGTGAATGGGACATCAGTGATTCCCAGTTCGGGTTTAGGCAAGGTTTAGGAACACGAGAAGCAATAGTAGCAACACAGGTGCTGGTCCAAAATTGTTACGATCAGAGGAAGATGTGTTCCTATGCTTTTTAGATTACCAAAAAGCGTTTGATCGTGTCCAACACGATGAAAACTTGTACTGGCATCAAACGGCACAGTTAAAAATAGACAATTCTATATCCAAACGTATACATATAAAAAGAGGCGTTCGACAGGGATGTGTGCTTTCCCCTCTTTTATTTAACATTTATTCGGAAGCCATATTTCAAGAGTCTTTGTAGGATGCAGAGATGGCAATCAAGGTGAATGATGATGGTGTCTTAATTTGTGACAACATAGTCGATCTTCAACAACTTATCACTATAATCGGAGAATACAGTAAGCGAATGGGATTAGAGTTTATTACCAAAAAGAGCAAATTCATGATCATCTCCAGAAACTTGGATGCACTTGAAAACTCCACCATAACACTGAATACTAAATCCATTGAAAGAGTGAGTAAATTTAAATACCTGGGATCGTGGCTTTTTGAAGACTGGGCATCGGACAGGGAAGTAAAATGTCGCATTGAGCAAGCTCGACAAGCTTTCGTAAAATTCAAGAAGGTACTGACTTGTTCTGAG